AAAGCAGTCCTTCCTAACTAGATTCCTACCACTCTGAAGAAATAAAATTTCTCCTTTCCTTTTTAAAAAGAAAAAAACCTCAAGAGGATAATGGTCTCTGTTCAAACTGGATGGGCAAAATGGCTGCCAATTGTTGCTACTGCTGAAAATCAACAACAATAATAAATAAAAATAATAATAGTTAATGTATCAAGCCCTGTATTTCCAGGCAGTGTATGAAGTGCTTCATGGGCATTATTTGACTTCAGTTTTCAATAGCAATAGGCATTCTCATTAGCCCCACTCTACATATGAGGAAACTGAGGCACAGAGTTTAAGAAATGGGCCCAAGTTTTCATGGCCGGCTTGGAGCCAAGCCCTGTCTGACTCTAAATCAATGCTCTCTACTGCGTCTCCTCATTCAATAAATTAATCCATAGAAAGTGACTGCAAAGCTGCCCACCTCATAGCAGGTGCTCAAGAAACAGGTGCCCTCTTCCCGTAACCAGATTTCCAAACCCATGTTGGGTCTCATGGCTGCACCCTTTGCTGTCTCCGTGGTGCGTGAGCGGTGACTGACCTTGCTGTGCAGTTCCTTGGGTAGACTCGTGCTTTGGGTCCTTTCAAACTGCTCCATGAGGGCTCTTGTCCTCTGGCTGTCAGAGGCCAACAGCAGCCAGAAGATCCTCTCCATGTTGTAGGGCACCTGGGCAGGAAGGCAGGGTGCCAGGGGCCACACTGATCTCAGCCCTTGTCCATCCCCACCGAGTCAACACCTGGGCCAGGTGCCCACTTTCCCACAGGTCCTACCTGAATGTCCATAGCTGATGCCAAGGTTGGTTCGACAGCCTTGGACAGAGAGAAGTCTCCCCGCTGCACAGTCCTGTGGATGATGTCATTACGGTTCACTGCCACGACCAGGCGGATGGGCAGGCCCATCTTCTGAGCAATGCACCCAGCTTAAGACAAGAGAGGAGAACAAAGGTCTCAGACATGACGCCCAAAGTACAAGAAATAAAAGGAAATTTAGATAAACTGGACTTCATAAAAATTAAGAAACTTTGGTGCTTTTGAAGATGAAGATTTGTGCTTCAAAGGGCACGATCAAGAAAACGAAAATGCAGCTCACAGAATGGGAAAAAATATTTGCAGACTGTATATCTGATAAAGGACTAGCATACAGAATATGTAAATAACTCTTCAGGGGTGCCTGGGTGGCTCAGTTGGTTAAGCGACTGCCTTCAGCTCAGGTCATGATCCCAG